AGTAAGGCATGTAGCAACATCAGCACGGCAAAGGGCACTCCTTTAAAGGCAAGAAAGGGCAAAAATATTTTAAGTCAAGTGATAGCGATTGCTGTATGAGTCGTACGATTTTTGACTCAAGCCCGTGCAACGCCGGGCCATGCTGCTAGTTATTATTATTATGATCTTTTTTCTTCTTTTCACGGCTGTTTTAACTCATTTTCACTCATTAATCTTCTCTCCATCTTTCTTTTTATTCTCCTCCTTCTTTTTCTTCTTTGTCTTTTTCTTCTATTTTTTTCATCTTCTTTATTATTATTTTTTCTTCCCTTTCATCGACGTCATCACTTTTCCTTTGCTCACCTCCTCTACCTTTTGCTCCTTTTCTTCCCCCGCCACTCTTTATATTATTTCTTTACCTCTTCTCCTTCCTTCCTTCCTTCCTTCCTTCTTTCCTTTTACCTGTTATATTCTTGTGCTTCTTCTTCTTCTTTTCATTATTATTATTTCTTGCTTAATTCTCTTTATGTACATAATAACTCATCTTTCTTCCTTCCTTTTAGTAAAGAGGCCACAGATGTAAATTTGAACATTTGTTGAGCTAAGGCAGGCACCCTAATATCCTGTTAATAATCAATTAAATTTATTCACTACTTTTCACGAGGCAATTGTTACATTAGTGACGGCGGAGGTCGGTGATGGTGGGGAGAATTGATGCGGCGGGAAAGAGCAAGAATGAACCGAACAACCACGAACGGCAGGTGGCAGCGCTCAGCTAATTCAAGAAAGATCCGTCCCGCTTGGGTATTGCAGATTTTATCCGGGCAACACTGAACGTGAGAAGCTTGGCGTAGATGCCATTTCTGAACCACATGACTATATCTCCTTATTAAGGACCAGGAAGCAACAATTTAGTAAAATAACGCAGCTGTATGAGTAGACTTCAATTCGGTTTTATTTCATTTTTAATGATTCCGTGTTTGTCGAATTGTTGTTTCTTTTGCTTCTATTATTTTGATAATTTTCGGCCATTATATTTTTCGGCTTTATTTTCATGCGTGCTGAATTTGGGTGTAAGTGCTTATGTCCTTGTGATTATATTTAATTTTAAATATGCCGATGAAAGTGACTGAAAATACATAAAAAAAAGTTTGTCTTTATCCCTAGTGGGTACTAATATTACTGTTATGTATAATCAAGAGTGACCTCCCCTTGTTTTGTTACTCTCCTCTTTGAGAGAGCTATTTCTATTTACTGGGACTGTAAAAGGACACTATACGTGAACCTTGTATTCTCAGATAAATAAAGCTTTCTTAAAGCCTACAAGTCATTACAATTGCCTAAACATGAGTTTAATTGAAGTAAATAAGAAGAAATATATCGATGCCTCCATATGATATAATATCAATATCATTGACGGCAACATATTCTCGAAAGATGCAGCGGACATACATTATTATGAAATATATTTTCCAAGTATTTAAAAACAAACCGTTTCTGTGTATTTGAGAACATCGCATTTCCGTGTATTTGTGAACATATTTTCGAAGATTTGAAGAAATACCATTTCTGTGTATTTGTAGACAGACCATTTACAAGTATTTGAAGACAGACTATTTTTCAAGTATCTGAAGTCGTAACATTTCCGAGTATTTGAGTACATAGCAGTTTCTTATATTTGATAACATATTATTTCTTAGTATTTGTAGACATACCATTTCCGTGTATTTGAGATCAGATCATTTACAAATATTTGAAGACACATTAATTTCCGAGTGTTTGAAGTCATATTATTTTCGTGAATTTGATAACATACGATTTCCTAGTATCTGAAGACATGCCATACCCGTGTATTTTAGACCTCAGCAGTTCCGAGTTATTAATATCAAACTAATTTTAATCTTTATAGTTTTCAAGTAATTAACGAGAGTTTTGTAAATGGACACAAGAACTGAAAAAGGCACACTGGAATCGTTGCTATAGAGTAACTGGCTATGGTTAAATTTAATTAGCAAAACTGTCCAACAAACAGAATTGACAAATGACAGTGTCTGGGTTTGTGGGTATCGATGGACATGTCCTGTCTGCCCACTCCTTTTCACAAGGCCTTCAAGTTAATACGGTTGGCTATAGTGAATGATTGAAACAGCTTGAATCTGTCTTGAATAGACAGACTACGAAATAAAAGTATGAATATGTGCGTTCATCAAAACATCTTACCTCTCCCTAAAGTTTATATAGTTCATGAATGGATAGATAACAAATTTTCACGATCAGATAACGTCTAATATGTGATCTCCAAACACGCCAGATCATAATGCTCTGGACTGCAGTGTCCGGAACCTTATCGAGAGAAAGGTTAATCCTCATATTACCCAAGATCCCTTGAATGTCGCAAACGGCAAGACAAGGTCTTAAAAAATGGTTAGAAAAAAATTCTAGCATTTTTTTTAAGCGTTTCACCCCAAGCAAGGCGGGAAGCCACAAGGACGCAAGGGTTTACAGAAGATTTGGAACAAGATCAAATAGGAACGATTGAGGAAAGTTTGGGGAGAAGGATAGTGGATAGATCAAGGCAACTGGAGATGTAGATTGACATTACATTTGAATAGTTGGAGATTATAGCTCTCAGGGAAACTGGAATAGGGAAGGGAGTTCCACAGGCGAGAGGTGCGAGGCATGAAGCTATTGGAGTAGAAGAGAAGGCTACATTTAGGAGTTTCGACAGTGAAGGGGTGAGAGCGGGATGCCAGCCTCGTAAGGCGCTTGAACTCATGAAGTCTGGAAACCAGCGAATGCAGCTCCTCGGAGCAATTGCCATGAAAGTATTTGTAAAACAGAAAGAGAGAGGCGACGGATGCATTTTTGTGTTTTTCTCTATACATTGGTGAGTGGGAAGTATTTTTCAGTCACCCTCCCCGGTCTGATTGGAACTGACAGTTGCCTTAGAAGCAGAACACAGAAAAACATGGAATCTTTTCGGTTTTTTTTCGGATGGAAACAAATCTGTTCAGGACCAAAAGATGAACATCAAAATTCATGGCTGGCTATGCACATTAAGTTTCCAGTGTCTGGGTTTGTGGGTATCGATGGACATGTCCTGTCTGCCCACTCCTTTTCACAAGGCCTTCAAGTTAATACGGTTGGCTATAGTGAATGATTGAAACAGCTTGAATCTGTCTTGAATAGACAGACTACGAAATAAAAGTATGAATATGTGCGTTTCATCAAAACATCTTACCTCTCCCTAAAGTTTATATAGTTCATGAATGGATAGATAACAAATTTTCACGATCAGATAACGTCTAATATTTGACCTCCAAACACGCCAGATCATAATGCTCTGGACTGCAGTGTCCGGAACCTTATCGAGAGAAAGGTTAATCCTCATATTACCCAAGATCCCTTGAATGTCGCAATCGGCAAGACAATGTCTTAAATGAAGAAAAGTCATTTGATTCGGGCATTCAAAAACTTCCGAACGCGAAGGAGTCATTGATGTTGAAGGTGGGTATATTGAATCAACTTGTTATAAATCTACACAAGTTTATGTACATTTTGTTTTATCACAATAAAGGTTATTTTTATGGTTGTTTTTTTTTTCCAAAAACTTACCTAAAACATCCCACAAATACTATAAAGGACTCAATATTTATTGTAAAAACAAACAAAAAAAAACGTGTTATTGTCAAATAAGATACGTGCTGCCAATTAAAGATTCCAAAATTAAACAATTAGGAAAACTTAAATATCTGTGAAGTGTTTTAACAGAGAATGGAAACTATGATAACGAGGTCCGAAGGTGAATTGAAATAACTAAAGCTAAGTAAAGTATTAAAAACAGGAATATTTTGTTAGAACCAAAGAAAAGAGTGCTCAACTACTATGTAAATTCAGTCCTCCTTAATGGCAGTGAATACTGGACAGTCTCCTCACAACTATAGATGAGACTTGAATGAACAGAAATGTGATTCTGCAGAAGGATGTTGAGTAACGAAGCAGATTTAATGATAACAGAAACAAAAACTGATTGATTGATTCATTTTCTACGGTTTATCAAACGTTTGCAGGTTATTTAAAGCCAGAAAACATTTTAGGATTGTAAGAATTTAATTTTAGATAATAGTGGTTTGGTGATACAAGTTTGTTATGGTGAAACACACCTATTCTATAGTTAATAGACTCTCCCACCTAATATAAGTAGGAGTAGCAAGAGAACCGAGGGTCAGTCGATGTCGGACGACCGACTGTTCGGTTCACCTCTCTTCCTACGGGCGGGAGGAACCCAAAGGAGGCTACGCCGAAGGGCGGAGTCTCCTTCGGGGAGGTAAAACCGGCCCAGAACCCGTTTATACGGGTTCAAATGGGCTATTTTTTGGCCGAGCCTAATGGCTCGGAAATACCCACGTTAAAAAGGCCTTGTGCCACATGACGCCCTCGTGGGGGGACGACTAAATATAGTCGATGTCGGACGACCGGCTGATCGGTTGAACTCTCTGCCTTCGGACGGGGAGGAACCCGAAAGAGCTACGCCGAAGGGCGGAGTCTCGTTCGGGGAGAACTGACCGACCCTGAACCCGTTTATACGGGTTCAAAGGGGTATATTTTGCCGAGCCCACGGGCTCGGAGATCCCACCTAAACCGGCCTTTGTGCCACATGATACCCTCGTGGGGGGGGGTGACTAAATACTAGTCGATGTCGGACGACAGTTAGTCGAATACGAAAGTAGTCAACGACCACAAGATTACTCTGCGTAATACCTATTATATCAAGTTCCTAACGTTTTGTACGCCGAACCTATTTAAGACCAATATAGTACAAAAACAAGCCTCCACTGCGAAATAACTCCACAACAAAGTCTTGCTAATTAACCCATAGCTAGAGGAAAAGAGGCGGATCCATACATTTCCCAAGGGTATTTGCGTGTAAGTGAATATAACAAACCCAACGGGAATTGGAACTCAGTTCTCCGATTAATAATTCCAAGCCATTATTCATTACACCACCCTCACGTCCAAACTTACATCACTTGTTATTCCCAAACGCTCACCCATCTAGGTACAGACCAGGCTCGACGTTGCTTAACTTCAGTGATCGTAGGGGAACAGGTGTTTTAACGTGATGTAACCGTAAGCCCGGAAACAAAAGGGACGTTTATACTTAGAATCAGAAAGAGACATTAGACATTCCTAGAACACATAATGATGATTTAGGGTTTGGAGAATTTATCACTCAAAGAAAATATTGACGGCATGAGAGACTTAAGGAAATAGCGATTAACGCACCAATCGAACTTTTGTAAATGGATGGTAGAACAGGAAGTGGGAAGTATCGTAAAATGACAAACATTGCTCGGAGATATAAAAGACAGGAAATTGTGAAGGGGACATAACAGATAAAAGAAAAAGAAGAAGAAAAATGTCCTACTTTGACTTGTAGACACTTCTGCTGAGATTAATATTCCGAAATGGTTTTAATATTTATATCTCGTATCTTTATGTTGCTGACTTTTCAATGTCATTTTGGGAACAATTCGTCAAGCTTTTACCAATTCTAGATCAGCGGGACAAGTGTCCGCAGGTATGTGGCATATGTCGATCCCCTAATGGTATGATATCAGGCAGTTCGATTGAATAAGGAAACAGGTCAAAAGAGACTGGCGCTTCTGTGGTTATCTGATTGGGAATTAAAATTAGATTCGCTAGAATATACATCAGAGAGTTTTTTTTTTTTTTTTTTTTTTTTTTCAAAGGTTTTTGAGGGATTTTTTGTGGTGAATATAAGGTATGCGTTGCTTATTTCTTTGTAAAGAAGCGCTATGCTAATATTAAATGAAGAAGGTTGAAAAGGAAAGAAAAGTTCACAGTGGATGGGGACGAATATGAGTGAGAAGAAAAAAAAACCGAATCCTGTGTAAGAATGAATAAAGAGGGGAATAAAATATTTGAAACAGAAATTAAAATATGTTGAATAAAGAAGAAGAAGAAGAAGAAGAAGAAGTCCGTGAAGGATACAAAGATGAAAGAAGTGAAATCGAAAGACGAATGAGAAAAGAAGATGAGCAAAAAGGAATAGGAGATGGCGAACAATAGAAGGGGGATGGGAGGAAAGGAACGAAAGAGAGGAGGAGGAGGAGAAAAAGAACAAAGGAAGTGGAAGAGAACAAGCAAGAATGGAAACGCTGAAGATGAACAAAAGAACAAAATGGAAGCTACGAAGGAAATAAAGGAGGGAACTGTTTAAAAAAGAAGTAGTAGGAGAAGGGCCACAACGAGAAGTAGGAGGAGGAGGAATGGAATGAGGTATGGGAGGGAAACGAGGAAGAGGATTGAGGACATTGGGAAGGCAATAAAAGAAAAACGAGATAATAAAAGGAAAAAAAACGCATAGAACGTTCCGCGAACAAAAAATAACTTGAAAAAAAAAATAAGTGAACAAATAAAAAAAAAAAATGTATAAAAATGATTAAAGCAAAAATTGTAAGCAAAAAGACAAACTCTCCTGAAAATGGCTGCTCTGATGAAAAATGAAATCAGATCCTTTAAAAAAAAAATGTCTTTAAAGGAAAGGAGACAAAAACGAAAAATGCATAAAGGAATATGAAACAAAACATTAGGATTTGAAAAAAAAATATGATGCCACAGACAAATTCTTTGGCTCTTGGCAATTGGTCTCCACTGAATAGAATGACTTCTGGAGAGAAAAAAAATCTAAACACAAATCAAATTCAAAAGATTCATAATTTTTTTTTTTTTTTTAAGCCTGTCAAAATTATGGCGTTCAGTGAAAAGAAGCGAGACGACCCAAGGTCAAACATTCTGCATATACCGGGTCAAATGTCATAGACTTAATCTGCCACCTCGGGATAAGGCAGATTTTATATTCAGCAAGGTGCCAAAAAAGAAATTGCCTCAACGAAAAACGAACTTGATTTTTTTTTCATTATTGCTTTTTCTTTTTCTCTCTGACTATGTTTCCCGCTACTTTTCTTTCGTTTCTATTTTCTTCGAATTTTTTTCGATTCAACTATCTTATTTTATTACTTTTTCTTTCACTTTTAACTTGTTTTTTTTTTCTTTTCGTTTTATCTTTTTTCTTTCTCTTTTTTTTTCTCTTTTTTTTTTCTTTCATTTTATCTATTTTACTTTTCTCTTTTTTTTTTTCGTTTTCTTTCTCATTTTTCTATTCATTTCTATCTTTCACGTTCACTTTTAGTTTTTCCCATCTTCTTTTCTTTTTCTCTTGTTTCATACTGCAGGGTTTTTTTTATTTTTTTTTTTCTTTAACTTTAGCCTTTATGACTTTCATTTCAATTTTTATTAGCATCTTTCTTCTTCCCTTTCACTTTATCTAGAGTTCAGTTTTCATTCTTTTTTCCCTTTTCTTTTTTTATTTTTATATTTATTTTTTCTTTCTTTTTACTAATTCATTTCCACAAACTTTTTCTTTCTCTAATTCTTTTTCAATCAATTTTCTTTTTACAGCCGTTTTTCTTAGTCGTTCTTTCTGCATGTTTCTCTTCTTCTGTTTCCTTTCTGAATCTGTTTTCGAATATTTTCTGAAGCAATTTTTCTATTTGTTTTATTTCCATCTTTCAATTTTTCTTTTTAAATTTTATACTTTCCTTATTTAATTTTTTAAATTATTTCATCCCAAAAAAGGCAATAAAGCCACTAAGACGCAAGGGGGTGTGTACTGAATATGAAAGAATATGAGAAAAAGAAACTTTTACATTGTTTTTTTTTTTTCTTTGTTGCTGTTACTAAGTCTTTCAGATAAAATCCAAAGTAGTCATCTTAGTTATAAAATACAAATTAGTTATCTTTGGAAGTTAATAAAAGAACTGCACTCATTGACAGTAGTCCAAAGAAAGATAAATTTCCTGGGATTTTCTTTTTGTTCATCGGTATCCAATATGGCTGGAATGATGGCTTTCTTTAAATTGCATGCTTTTGTAATTCTTATATTTGATTTGGTTTGTTTTGTTTTACGGCGTATCAACCTCAATATTTCTGGTGATATTTTTTCTTCAAAAAAATTTTTTTTTTTTCAGAAAAGTATAGCTGGTAATAATTTTTTCTTCAAAAAATGTTTACAAAGTCTTTCTGGTATTAGAACCTATTTTTACACTTTCGTAGTGTTTTGACCCCAGTTTGGGGGTTAACTATTTGCCCCTAGCTGGGACCCTAACAGGTACTACGACCCCGGCTCAGGGTAGACCTGGGAACACTAGCAATTCAGAGGTGGTTCCACGCTCGTCAAAAACTCCTGATCAGAGGCCTTGCTGTTGGACGTAGTTTATCGTCTTACCCAGGACGTGGATGTAGTTTATCGACATACCTAGGTCGTTCTTATATTTGAAGGGTGTATTAAATTCTTTCGCTTAAATGATTTTTCCAGACGGTATGATTGTGTCTTTAAGATATCTTTTACGACAATATGGCGTCCGTTATCGTGCGCTTATATCATGCGTTCAGTATGTACGGTGAACCCCAAGATTAAATTAATGCCATCACCTTCTAGAAATGGAATTTGTTTTTGACTATACGATTTTTCCTGTGCGGTCTAGGCTTGAAAGTTTTCTTTAACAGAAAGTGAAAAATGTGACATCGAAAGCCGAGGTACGTTGAAATAGTAAAAGGTGTTTCCCAAAAGCTCAGCAAAATATGAAGAAACAGGAAAATTTCCTTAAAACCATAGATAAAAGTACTGAAACGCTAGATAAAGCTATCCTGTTATATAGCAGTGAATGCTGGATAATTGCTTCACAGATAAAGAGTTTGATTGATTGACTGATTGATTGATTTATATAAGAAATAATAATTTACTAATACAACTGCTACTATTTAACCCGTAGCTGGGAGAAGAGGAAGTGGATTTATACCTTTCCCAGGAGAATTTGCGCATAAGTGAATATAACGAACTCGAGCAGAATTGGAACTCGGCACTCCGATTTTCAATTTCCAGTCGTTATCCATTACACCACCGGCACATCCAAGTTTAAACGTCCTGATATTCCTAAGAGATCACTTAACTTTGGGGTTTACAACGTGATAGGGCCGTAAGCCATACAAACGTTTACTGGGAATAACATGGAAGGAGCATGTGAACGACGAAATTTTAAGGAAAATGAGATCAAATAGGAAGAACGCTTAATAAGGAAAGAAGGTTTGGATAATTTGACACTCACAAGGCATACTGAAGGCAAGATGGAGAGAGGGAAAGCAGCTCATAGCCAACCTAAAAAGCTTGTGTAAATGGATAGCAAAACAGGAACTGGGAGGGATAGTGAAAAGACACACCTTACTGAGAGCTAACCGGACAGGAAGTCATGGAGAGCCATGATCCTCCATGCTCATGAAGGGAGCAGAAGAAGAGAAATAACTGTGTAATATTAACATACCTTTATATGAAAATAATGCTCTACTCTACCATGCCTATTTTTAAAATTCGTTTGGTGCCAGGTCAAATCTGCCTGATATTAGATTACAGTGGTTTACAATTTTTCGCAAGTTGATTACTTCAGAAATGAAAAGTGCCAATTCTTATGTCTTTTGGCGTGCTGAATTCAAAAATAAACTTCACATCATATGATTAGCTCATGATTTTGAGATATTTAGCCAATTATGTCATATACATGAGTACAATGGATCTCTCCAAGATAAACAATGTGGCGTTGCAAAATCTCTTTTGATGTTCTGTCCTAAGTAGGCTACCAGAGCAATACATAAAGCTATCAAGATAGCAATATATGTGTTTACTGAATAAAATACAACCAGAAAACTCTATTCAGAAGTATATATATATATATATATATATATATATATATATATATATATATATATATATATATATATATTTAAGTTACGAAGAACTTGGTAAACCGAAAGGGTAATTCCAAGGAGGATGAAATCCTGAGAGCTCAATGTGAATCCAGAGCTAATATTTAATGAAAAAACAGACCACTTTAAGGTACCATTACAATAATTTATTTCACCAAAATCCTTTTTGAAGGACTCTGGATCATCAGGTAACACTTCCAGCAACAAATTTTCCTTTCATTTCGTTGTTATTCAGTTATTCAGCAATCACACATCGCTTCTTACTTTGTCTTTTGTAAAATGCAGGAGG